TTGTTGTTGTTGTTGTGCGTTGCTCCTCGTATTTAAATTTGCTCACCGAGATCACCTTGAAATTGTTTTTTTTTTTTTTATTACTTATAAGTACCGAGAATGTGTTTATTATTATAATTTGCCAAAGTTGGTTTAAACATTATTAAATTTCTTTTCTTGTCATTTTATCACACATGAACAACTTTGTTTTGATTTTGCACGTTTTCAACGTAATAATTTTTAAAAAAAAAAAAAAAAGAAAAATCGACGTGATTGAAAATAACTTTTCCTTAAAGGATAATGATAATGATGATGATAGAAAAAAAAACGACGTCTTGACCGTGAGAATTCGCGTTTTTTGTTTTTTTTGTTTGCTGTCGTTGTAAGATTCGTTTCCTATTTTATCTTATTTAAACCTCCCCTCCCCTTTGTTTGTTTGTCTGTTTGTTTTTTTCAAATGAGAATCCCTCGAGTTAATATCGAGCCGACGAAAAAAAAAAAGGTTGAGATGTGGTCAATAAGTATTATATAATTAATTCAAAAGCTTTTTGCAAAAACTTTTTGAATCATTAATCATGCATGCTTGAGGAGGTTGGAAAAAAATGCTGTTGTCACTGTCGTCACTTATTATCATCATTATTATTATTATCGTAAGCGTTTTAAGTAATTAATTCGGGAAGGGGAGGGGAAATAATAATAATTGTCGACGATTAATAAAACGTACGTACCTTTTTAAATATGGGCGTTGATTGTAATGTGATTAGTGTGTTGTTATCAGGGAAAGTGATTGATAATGAACAAATTTTCGTCGATAATTAAAATAATAATAATAATTATTTTAAGTGGGGGAAAAAAAAACAAAATTATTACGTCAATTTAAATTACAAAAAAAAAAAAAAAATTGTTAATAAATAAAAACGTTAAAAATCGAAAAAAAAACTGTTGGAATAAAAAAAGAAGAAAAAAAATTTTTTTCTTTTTTTTTTGTCTTTTATTTTTGTAAAAGGAAAAAAAAAGGAAAATGGAAAAAATTATTAATCGAGTTCAAGGTAAATCGTCGTCAAAGTTTAATAAAAAAAAAAAAAAAAAGTTGCAAATGAATTTGCAAGAAAGAACTCGATTTTTTTTTTTCGCGATGATGTTTTTTTAATAATTCATTCGATTAATTTTTAAACGTGGCATAAGATAATTATAAAACGAAAACAATTAAGTCGTCGTCGTCGTCATAGTTTGAATCACGAGGATGATTTTCCACAAAAAGAAAAAAAAACTTGTGAGTTTTATGCACGTGAGAAAACTCACGTTTGTTGTTTTGTTTTTTTAATTTTTTTTTTTTCTAATAATGTAATTAAAATGAACGGAGGAAAAGTTTTATCCGGACGAAAAAAAATATTAAATTGATTTAAAGACGTGGTTTTAGACGATGGACTTCGAAAACAATAAGTAATAATAATATTATTAATAATAATTACGAACGCGTTTTTTTTTAAATAATTTTTTTTTTTTTAGGAATAAAAAATATCGTAGAATTATGTAATTTAATTTTAACGAATAAGACGACGAATGTTCTAGAAGAAGGTTTAAAAGCGTTTTCTTTTTTTTTTTTTTTTCTTCGTTTAATCCAAGAGAAAACGTATTAAAGAGACAAGTTTTAGAAAAAAAAAAGTTTTTCTACGGATTTAAAAGTTATTGCGCTTTTTAGTAATAAAACAAAATTAATATTTTCGTTTGATTTTATGTACGATATACGGTTATACTAGAGAGTAATAAATTTTAAAACGTAATCAATTAATTAAATTTTTAAAAGAAAAAAAAAATCTCGAACGAGATATTTGAAACTTAAAAAGGAAATAATTTACTTAAACACACACATATATGTATAAGGTTGGTTGGTGGTTCGATATCTCGAAAATTTCCAAAAAAAAAACTCGTTTTGTGACTTGGTTTTGTTTTCAAACGAAAGAGGAAAAACGTTAAAAAATTATTTAGAGTAAAAAGCGATAACGTAAAATTTATTACGCCGAAAAAACAAAAAAAAAAAGAAAAGTAAAATAAAAACAAAAAGATTGATTGATTGATCGATCAATCGATCGATCGATTGATTTACTTACGTTTTTACGACTTTGTAAAACGTCGACGTAAATTATAACGAAAAAAGACACAAATGAGATTTTTTTTAAAAAAATAAAATTTATTTATTGGTGACGATCGTCGTCGGGACGAAAGAATATTTAAATGAAAATATTATTATTATTATTATTAAGATGGTGAAGTCGATTTTCTTTTTTCCTCTTCTTTAAAGGGTATTTAAAAAAAAAAAAGAAAACAAAAGGAAAAAAAAGGCAACGAAAAGAATTCAACCGGCAAATTACCGGGAGCAAGCAAACAAATTAAGCCTCCCTCTCTCTCTCTCTCCCTCTCTCACCCGCCCCCCTTCAAGTTGTTTTCCAACGAATTTTTGTTTTTGTTTTTTTTTTTTTCCGGGTTTCGGTTTTCGGTTTTCGTCCGTGCGGAAAATGAAATTAAATAATATATATAAAAAAATTTTCCGACCGATAAAAATTTTTTTTCTTTTTTTTTTTTTCTCCAGCGTTTTCGAGTCCGTAAATAAATCATTTAATAAATAAATGGCGGAGGTAATCTGGTTCACTTATTTATTTATTTAACGCGAGCGTTGCGTAATAACGCAACTTTATTATTATTATTATTATTATTATTATTATTATTATTATTATTATTATTATTGTCATTATTATTAATAAATATTATCAAGTGTTTCTAGCTTTTGATTTGAGTTTTAATTTTTTTTTTTTTTTTAATTATGTAAAGCGTGTACGAGTCGTGCAGGAAATGCGCGCGTGTGCGTGTGTGTGTTTCTGTACACATTTTATTAATAATAATAATAATCATATCCGGTGTCTTTCCCCCCCCGATTCGTTCGATGATTGATCGTATCGAACAATGAAACGATTTCTGATAAAAAAAAAAAAATGATCCCTTAAAAGTTTGTACGATTTTTACGAAGTCACGGGTATTAATGACGACGATTTTGTTATTAATTTTCTTTTTACAAAGTGTGTGCGTGCGTGTGTAAGGTTTTACGAAAAGGGAATGAAAGAAACAGAGAAAAAGAACATTCTAGAATTTATTTAGAGTCGTTTAAAATTTTTTTTTTTGGTGTTATTAATTAATTCGTAGGTAATAGTTTCTTTTACTATGTCTGACTTTCGATTTCGTCGAAAACTATTATACTTGTTATACTTGAGATTTTCTTTTTATAATAATAAAAATAATAATAATAATAATAGTTTTATAAAAAATGTTAGGAAAAAAAAAAAAAATTTTCCTCGTTCGGGTGAAAATGCGGGAAAACTTTTCGTAAATGACGTAAATCCTCGTCTTTTTTTTTTTTTTTTTGCTCGGACGATATAAAAAATAAATGAGTGTTTGTCTTGGGGGACCGCGAGGCACTAATTCGATTGAAACTTATAGCTGACCTTAAAAGGAAAAAAAAATTCGGTTCTAAAAAAAAAAATGTTTCGAAAAGGTCGAACGTAATAATAAAACTGCGGGAAAACTTTTTTTCTTATTTTTTTTTTTTTGCTCGCTTTTATCTTTTCATTTTTTTTTGTTTTTTTTTTTTTTTGGTTTTTTTTTTTTTTGGTTTTCCATTTAAAGTTTTGATATTTTGAAAATTTAAAATTTTTTTTTCTTGGTTGGGGGGGGGGGAAATTTTTCACTGGTGTTGCCTTTTTCGAATTTTATTTTTTTCTGGAATTTTCTATCCAGAAACTCGAATCGTCGTTTCGATATATTTTACCCTTAACGGGCCCCGCGGCTCTAAAAAGATATTTTTCCAAAAAGGAAAACGAATTAGATTTTTATTTTATTTTAATGTCGGTCGCAGAAATTTTTTTTTTTTCTTTTCTTTTTCTTATTATTATTATTATTATTTTTGTAATGGTAATAACATTATTTATTAGCAAAAAGAGAGAGAGAGAGAGAAAACAATTGCAATAACGTTTAATTTTATTATTATTATTATTAGTATTAGTATAACTACTGTTGTTATTTTTTTAAATGTTTAGTTTTTTCTTTTTTCCTCCCGCCATAAAAAAAAAATTCTTGTCTCGTCGTAAAAGTTTTTTTTTTATTTTAATCGTGATTGTTTTTTTTTTTTTTCAAATCGTATATTTACAGTAGTCGTTTTAAAGCAGAAGAAAATAGAGAGAGAGAGAGAGAAAACCGAAACGTAATTATTTAATGGTGATATTCTTTTATATTTTTCAAAAAAAAAAAAAATTTCCTTTACGTCTTACGCAACCGTGTCAAAACCGTGTTATTACTTTAAAAAATACAAATAATAATAATAATAATAAATTTATTTTAAAAAAAAAACAGTTAGAATTTTTACGCACGTGGACGAATTATTATTATCATTGTTGTTGTTGTTATTACTGTAATCAAACGTAAAACAAAAGATAATTAACATTGCAAGAATAGTTAACGTACCATAGAAGAAACCGGTGGTCCATTAGTTTCACGTTGCATACTCGATTTAATTTAATTACGATTTCTAAAAAGTTATAACTTATTTTTATTTATTTTTCTACTATTATTATTATTATTATTATTACGAGGTCGGTTTTCTTCTGAATTACGTAAAGTATTTCTTTTTTTTCTTCTTCCGAATCGGTGACTTCTGTCAAAAGCAAAAGAAAAGTTATTTATTGTTGTTTTTGTGGTTGTTGTTGCTGTAACGGTACGACATTAATAGGTTTTAAAAAATAAAAAAAAAGAAAAGTAATTAACGTAAATAATTATTCGTTGGCTTTTTCGTTTTTTCAGGTTAAATGGGAGATGTGAATAGGAAACGATACGACGAAATGTTGCGGCGTGTGACAAGTAGAAACGAATCGATTAAAATCAACAGGTAACCGAGAACAATAGGAAATAGGAAAGGAATAATAATAGTAGGGATCGACATGGAGGGTGACAACAAGAAGACTATAAAATATTTAATGAATCAACCGGCGACCGTGCACAATTACGGAAAATTGAGCAAAGCCGACAGTCCGAGAAATCATTCATCGCCCACAAGTATTCTTAGAAAATTTCCAAATAGTTTGAGACACGATCAAAAACATCAGACGAAAATAAAGAGAAATAGTTCTCCGGTGAACGTGGCATTGTCCGGAAATAGAGAGGGTTGGGAAACGAATAGGAAATCGTGGTCGTTCGGAGATGATATCTCGGACGAATCGGAGGAGAGGCCGTCGTCGGAAGATTCCGGAGTTCTCGGGAAAATGCGGGAGAGTCGGTGCAACAACGAGGATTCTCGCGTCAAAAGAAAATTCAGTGATACATCCATAAGCAGCGATGGTTCTTGTTACGATAATGGCGACACGTGGAAATTCCAGTCGAAATACATAATTTCAAACGATAATAATAAATCCGTCCAAAACGTTAATAATAATAAATTAGATAATTTAAATTCGACGAGTGGTGGTAACGTGAAAAAAATCAATAATTCCGCACTAGGCGGAGACCCGTTGACCGATCAAAAGGAAGTGAATAATAAATCAAAAAGAAAATTTTCTGTGATCAGTAATTCTTTAAGTGAGCGTAAAAACGATAGCGATGATTTACATAGGAATAGTTTTTGCGAAAAGTCTGAGCTTAGTAAAAGGTTACAGTTTCCGATACACAAGTCCACGCCGAATTTACTTCGTTCTTCTACGGTTACGAATTCCGATCGTCGGATCGGAGATAAATCGGTAAATGGAGATTACGATTCTCCGAGCGAGAGAAGGAGAGGAGGAAAACGAGAATCCAATTACAAAAACGGCGGAATGCCGTTGAGAGAGAGCGATTCTTTGCCTCACTTGGATCAAAGGCATCGAATCATACACTCGATAATGCCGAGAATCAATCGAACCATATCGGAGTCGCCTGAAAGCAACCTGTCGAAAGCCTGCATAAAATCCGAGTCGCACATAAATTCACAAAATTCGTATAATAGCAACGTACGATTGAAAGAACCTTATTTCAGTGTGTCAAACGTTTTCGACGTCGGTAAAAAAAACGAATTGAATCGTTCGGATGATGAAAACGAAGGTTTGAGTTTGATCGATAATCGTAAAAATTTAGTCTTTCGACCGTCGAAAGCTCAGAAAGAAATGAAAAACCGGTGGTCTTACAAGAAAACAGTTGACATAATGCCAAACATACGGACTTTAATGGGTAGACGAAACAGAAACGATAACAACATCGAAGGAGTTTTGTCGAGCGGAGCTTTCGCTCCCCTCATGATGACGCATCCCTACGTGAGATCCGACAGTTGCACCAGTTTGAACATTCCTCAAATCCAATACACGGATGCGGACGAAAAACATATACCCGTGAAAAAGTGCGAAACCGTTTACGGGCTCTCGAGTTTGATACCGTCGGAATCCCCTTTCCACGTGGAACCCATAAAACCCGTGAATAGATTGAGAGTGCCTCCGAACGGGTTTTCCGGAAGTACATCTAGAATGTGTTCGCGTTGCAGTAGCTTACTCTCTATGGCCAGTTCGTCTAGGTATTCGATAAACACGACCGGAAGTGTATTTGTGAATTGCAATCAATCGGTTGAAAAGCTTCAGGAACCGAGCATACTTTGCAAGTTGTGTCTTATGGAAGTGCCAATGAGCATGTCGCTTAAAATAGATTGCTGCGGATGTATATTTTGTAGAGATGTGAGTATTTATAAACTAAAGATCTTAATTAGGTCGCTCTCCATAGCAGAAGGTTGTACATGTCTTTATTGTATGATATGTTGTTGCAATAATGTACCTGACAAGTAGACTTGTTCGCCACGAGCAGTCTCTCTCTCTCTCTCTCTCTCTCTCTCTCTCTCTCTCTCTCTTTCTTGTCTTACAGATGTTTAAGAGCACATGTAAAAAAAAAAAAAAAAAAAAAAAAAAATTTAATTCCACGTAAGTGATTGATATTTCGTAATAGAAAAATATTAATTAATATCGATCACGTGATTATAACGACGTCTTCTTCTTCGTTTTGAAACTTGCTTTCATTTATAATACTTAAAAAAATTATTTTGATTGATTCGACGGTTATAAATCAAAAAATTTAAATATTAAATGTAACAATAAGGTGTAAAAAAAAAAGGGAAGGGGGGGTGGGAGGTGAACGAAACGATTGCAATTAAATAAAACTCGAATTGCATAATGCGCAAATCGACTTATGCAAGCGCATTCAAATACGTCATCATTTTAAAGGGGCAGTATAAGGTTAGCAGCTAGGAGGAGATCCGGTCAAGGGTTCTAGAAGAAAAGAAAATTATTATTATTATTATTATTATTATTTTAAAAAATAGAAAGTAGTCTTTATTATGACGATCGTAAAGTTTTTTTTTTTTTTTCTCGTCGCATCGTAATTCAAATCTAAAAAATTTTGCTTAAAATTTTAAGGGTGGGATTGGGAAATAAAACCCGAACTACCCCAACGCGTAGAGTAATGGGGGGGGGAAGAACAACATGGCGAAAAAAAAAGAGGTACCCGTTTTTTAAACAAATAAATAATGAAAAACAGTGACGGAGATTACGATGTACACATCGTCGATAGATACGAGTCGAGTACGTTTCAAAGGAAGATACTTGATTTCAAGGTTTTACCCATTACCCACCTACCTACCTACCTACCTACCTACCTGCCTACCTAGTCGACGACGATGTTTAATAATCACGGGACCTATTAGGAATTTTTTTTTTTTTTTTTTTTGCGCTGGCCACCTAGCGCAAAAGTTTATCGCGATCATGATCACAATGATGTTCGTCATCATTATTATTATTATTATTATTATTATTATTATTATTTATATTCGTACGTGTTAGCAGTGGAAAAAAGTATTGAGAAAAGACCTTAAAAGTTGACCTGAACAAACAAGGTCGAAAAATCACAAGCATTCGATTTAATAAAAAAGTTCACGCGTGAACAAGGATTGTATTGATTAGCTATACCGGAAGTGCAGGGTTAGAATATCGGTCGGGACATTCGCATAATCATCATCATCATCATCATAATGATAATCGTTGGATTGGGTTCAAGGTCGTTGCATTCGCGTGCGCTTCTCTCTTCTCATCTTTTATTTATTTATTTATTTTTATTTTTTTTCTTTAAATGGCGGTGATTATTATTATTATTATTACGAATGAAATTGTTAAAAATGAGAATTATTATTATTATTATTAAAATGATGTTTTCGAGAACGTTTTCGAGTTCGTCGCGAGTTTTTCGTTTGTTGGGTCGTTTGTTTGTTGGTTTTAACTTTGTTTTCTGTTGAGGGAGGGCAGTGAAAATAAATCATCGAGTTTTTTTTTTTTTTTCGTATCCATCCCCTTTTTCCCTTTCCGGTTTTGCAAGTTTTTCGTTATCATCTGGTCATGGAGATTTTTTTTTAAACGTTTTTTGTTTTCCTGGAAAAGAAAAAAAAAATTAAATTTAACGGTGAAAATTTATTTATTATTCGATTTCGTCTGGAAAATAAATAAATATTTTCGCACCTGAATTCAATAAATGAGAAAAAGGTAAAAAAAAAAAAAAAGGGGAGAAAAAAAAGGAAAAAGGAAGGAAAAAAAGGGGGGTAAAAAACGACTTTAATTCATTTTGCGCGTGGAGGGAGGGGGAGGGTGATTTTTCGTTTTTTGGTTTTTTGGTTTTTTTTTAATTTTAACATCACATTTTGGAAAAAAACCAGAAATTTTTTTTTTTTTTTTAAAATGTTTTTCTTTTTCGAATGGGTGGGGGAATAAAATGGGAGAGGAGGGGAGGGAAAGAAGGGGCGAGTGAGGGCGAATAAAATTTTAATTCGGTGAATTTTTTTTTTTTTTTTTCGGGAGAAAAGAATAAAAAAAAAAAAAGTTTTAGAAAAAAAAAATGTTAAAATTGAAATGGAAAATTCTCCTTTTCCTTCTTGCTTTGGATTTTCCCCCCTTTTTTTTTGCTCTTTATTATTATTATTTTTTTTTTTTTGTTTTCTTTCCAGCCGCCATGCTGGAACAAATGTATTATTATCGGTTAATCCGAAATGTTTTTTTCTTTTTCTTTTTTTTTGTTTTTCTAATCGGGAATTTACGGGTAAGTTAACTCGTAGTTGAAAAAAAAATGAATAAATTATTATTATTATCGATGTCGAGTCGACAAAGTTTTGTTTTTCTTGTTTTATAATAAAGTCTCACGTTTTTCTGACATTCTGATGGTGGTGGTTGTGGGGGGGGGTGTTGTTGGTGCCAAGAAACTTCTACCGGTTTTAAAAACCGAACTCGTTTAAATTGCAATTTCGTCGTTGGTTTTATTATTGAATATTGTTTGATTGTGTTAAAAATAATAATAATAATAATAATATTTGTTTTTAAATGTACGTATTTAAAACAAACAAACAAACGAACGAATTTATTATTGATTTTTTTTTTTTGTTTTTTTTTCGTGGCACGAATTCTTCGAAGAACGAAAATTTAAAAAAAAAAAAAATTATTTTCATTATTAGTTTGAAGGTTGTAAAAACCGTGAGTACGATAATAATAACATTTCCTGAATATTTTATCGTTTTTACTTCCGAGCCTTAATAAATTATTATTATTAATAGTATTGCGATTTTTTTTATAAAGAATCCGAAAAAAAGGGGGGAGAGGGAGAGGGAAGGGAAATTTGGGTAATATCGGAAAATGATTTTTTTTTTTCCCGTGTCCGACATTTTTGGGTCGTCAAAAGATTCAAAAATAGTTCGGATGTCATGAATTATCCAGAAAACATATCTCCAGGCAACTAATGGACGGAAGAAAAAAAAAACTCAAATCCTCCTTATCGGAAACGTTTTATCATTATTATTATTATTATTATTATTATGGAAAAGTACGAGGGAAAATTTTTTTTTTTTTATCAGATCCAGTCCTTTTTTTTTTATGTGTACACACCATCAAAAAATGTAGAAAATTCGAAAATGTAAATTTAACGTTTTATTTTTGGTTGTTGTTGCTGTTGGAAAAAAGGTCAAAAATTAATTTTGTCGTTTGTCGTTTGTTTCTTTTTTTTTTTTTTTTCTATTCATTTTCGATTTTCGATAGTTGACGAGTTATTTGTTGAAACTGTGTTCCGGTAAATTAAATTTTATTTTTCCCCATCTCTCTTTCTCTTTCTTTGTCTCTCTTCCCCTCTCTCTCTCTTCCTCTTTTCTCCCTTTTTTTTTACCGGGAATAAATGAAAAAATTCGGGATGGTGGCATAATCGATTTTCAATTCGTTCGTATCGTGACAAAAACAAAAAAAAAACAAAAAAGGAGGTTGAATCGATATTAGTTAGTTGTTGATGAGTTTTTTTTTTTTTTTTTATCGAAATCTAATAAATAATCTTATCGTGAAATAAAAATAAAGAAAAAAGTCGATCGATAGATAATCGATTATTATCTATCGATATATCATCTCTTATTTATTTATTTTTTTTTTATTTAAAAATTTGAATTTTATTGATAATCGAATGAAAAATGATGGGAAAAATTGTTTTTTTTTTTTTTTTTTCACCTCCTCTCGTAAGTTAGAAATCATCATCATCATCATCATCATCATCGTCATTAAATGTCGTCATCGACAAATTCCAGGTTCATTTTTTTTTTTTTTTCAGACGTCTCCCCTCTGAAAATTTTGTAACAAATGAAAAATATTTGATTCGGCTGGTTCCACGATTATTTTTTTTTAATACGCAAGGCCTTTGGAAAATTATTTGTTTGTATGCGGCGATGACGTCAAATAACTTTATCCTGGTTTTAATAACGTTTTATTATTACCATTATTATTATCATTAATTTTTTTTTTCCGGAGCGAGTTTTACGGATGAAAAAAAAAAAAACGAGTCCGTTTTATTATTATTATTAATTTTTTTTCCCCGAGCTTATATTTGTTTTTGTAAAATCCAGAGTTTAAAATTATTTTTTGGATCGTTTTTATTATTATTATTATTATTTATTATTGTTTTTTAATTCTCGTCAAATGAATTATAAATAATTTGGTGAAATCGTTATCATTATTATTATTATCATCGCGAAAATTGATAATTTTTGTCAATGAAAAATGTTTCGTCTGGAAATGAGCGAAATTCGTTAAAAGTTTTGTTTTTGTTGTTATTGTTGCTGTTGTTCTTTATGTTATTGTTATTGTTGTTGTTGTTGTTGTTGCTGTTGTTGTTGTTGTTGCTGTTGTTGTTGTTGTCACTATCGCGGAAACGGAGACTATTCGCGAATTACGGGTTTTAAATATTTTATCCCCCCATTTTTATTTTTTTGTACGCGCGTTAATCCTCGTAATTCCTTTTATTAAATGATTCGGTATTTAAAGGTATCAGGTTGGATAAATACGTCTAAATTGAAAAAATTGTGGTTGTCGTTGTTTATGTTGTTGTTGTTGTTGTTATTTGTTTTTAATTATTCATAATCAACTATTGCGATCGTTTTTTTTTTTTTTTTAAGATTTGTTTCAGTCGGTAAACTTACTATTTTTTTTTTTTTCTTGGAGGAAATCATTGTCAAGGGGGAAATTTTTTTTTTTTTAATTTAAAACACAATTAAAACGTAAACGAGAGAGTGGGAAGGGGAGAGGAGGGGAGGAAGAGGATGCCGGAGTTAAATTCATCGTCGTTAGCCGATCAAGTTTTTCCTTTTGTAATTTTCCGTAGATGTTAAACGTCATTTTCAACTTGGCTCCTGTGAAAAAATCGATCCAATTATTATTATTATTATTATTATTATTATTATTATTATTATTATTATTAATTATAATTTATACAGTTGTGATTTTAAAGTTTTGAAAAAAAAAAAATTTCCTTTTTTTTTTTAATCTGGCAGCAGATAATTTAAACTTTAAAAAACTTTTCCGATTTTCATTTTCGATTTTTTTGAAATTTAATTAAAAATTTTCAGTTTTCCGGGGTCCGAAATCTTTTTCTTTTTTTTTTTTTTTTTACTTTTTTTGTTTTCGGAAAACGCGATGATGATGATGGTGATGATAATAGTTGCAGAAGAAAAAAAGGAAAAAATTATTATTATTTTTTGCAATTAATAAGTGGTGGTGAGAGAGGTAAAAAGAAAATAAAACAATATGGGGAAAATTTGCATGCATGGACGCATTAAAAATTTTAATATTGACTCTGGATAGAATTTAAAATTTCTCTCGCCTTTTCTCTCTTCTCCTCCTCTTCCTCCCTCCCTCCCTCCCGAAAAGGGGAGGCGAACAGAAAAAAAGCGAGAAAAAAAAAAAAAGATTTTCTTATTTTTTCAAAGTTTCGCTAAGTCTTTTTATTCATCTCGTCGTCGTCATTTCATTACAAATT